GGACACGGAATCCGAGTGGACCATGTTCAAAGCCTCTATTGTGGACGCGGCCGCTAGGAGCTGTGGCCGGAAGGTCATCGGTGCCTGTCGTGGCGGCAACCCGAGAACCCGGTGGTGGACACCGGAGGTGAGGGAAGCCGTCAAGCTGAAGAAGGAGACCTTCAAGGCCTGGTTGGCCCAGGGGTCTCCTGAAGCAGCTGACAGGTACCGGCAGGCCAGAAGGGCTGCAGCTGCGGTGGTCGCGAATGCTAAAGCACGGGCATGGGAGGAGTTCGGGGAGGCCATGGAGAAGGACTTTCGGTTGGCCTCAAGGAGGTTCTGGCAAACCATCCGACGGCTCAGGAAGGGAAAGCAGGGCTTACCCCAGGCTGTTCTCAGCAGGGGGGGGGAACTGCTAACCCGGACGGAGGACATCGTCGGGCGGTGGAAAGAGCACTTTGAGGAACTCCTAAACCCGACCAACATGTCCTCTGCAGAGGAGGCAGCGCCTGAGGACCTAGGGGGAGGCTCACCCATATCCCTGGCAGAGGTCGCTGAGGTAGTTAAAAAGCTCCTTGGTGGCAAGGCGCCGGGGGTGGATGAGATCCGCCCTGAGATGCTGAAGGCGCTGACATAGTTGGGCTGTCCTGGCTGACACGCCTCTTCAATGTCGCATGGGGGTCGGGATCAGTGCCCATGGAATGGCAGACCGGGGTGGTGGTTCCCATCTTCAAAAAGGGGGACCGAAGAGTGTGCTCAAATTACCGGGGTATCGCACTACTCAGCATCCCGGGGAAGGCTTATGCCAGGGTGCTGGAAAGGAGGCTCCGACCGCTTGTCGAACCTCAGATTCAAGAGGAGCAGTGCGGATTCCGTCCCGGCCGTGGAACAGTGGACCAGCTCTTTACCCTCGCAAGACTACTGGAGGGGTTCTGGGAGTTTGCCCAACCAGTCTACATGTGCTTTGTGGACTTGGAGAAGGCATCGACCCGATGGCTCCACTCTTTCCATCCCCTCCCTCTGGTCAGCCGAGCGCACCGCCGCAACTCCTGCACGTCATCACCACAACAATCTACACGAGCGAGCCTGCCTCCGCCCCCTTACCAGAGCACCCCAGCCTGCCCAAATTCATCCACATCTCAAAATTGCTCTGTTTAGATCCCTAAACAACAAGGGCCTCTTACTCAATGAATTCATAACTGACAATAATCTGGACTTTCTGTTTAACCGAAACATGGCAAAACCAACAGGACTACTTTTCACTAAACCAAACCACACCCCCTGGATATTCATACATGGACAAGCCACGCCTCCATGGGTGTGGTGGTGGAATAGCCACCATTTTTGGCAAAGACATCACTACAAGTGCAATAACCATCCCGGCTCCCTCCTCATTTGAACACCTTGTCTTTAAACTGTCTGGTCCCAAACCCCTGGTTACTGCAGTCATTTACCTCCCCCCAAAACCTAACCCTGCTTTCCCTTCTGACCTGTCTGAATTTCTCACACAACTCTGCGCCATCTCTCCATCCATTGTGCTACTCGGTGACTTTAACACACACGTCGACTCATCTGACTCCACAACTTCTGCAGAACTCCTGGACATCTTTAACTACTTCAACATCACCCAACATGCCGACTTTCCCACCCATAACAAAGGACACACACTTGACCTGGTCTGCACATCCGGCATTACCATCAGCAATCTAACCAGCATCGACCTCACCATCTCTGACCACCTGGCTATCACCTTGGACATAGACATCCCCACCCCCCATGTTAAGCAGAATTGCACCATAACATTCCGGAACATCAAGTCTATCAACATCTACTCGCTCTCCTCCACTTTGGCTGCCACTGTCTCTGCCTCTGACCCTATTTCGACTGCCTCACCCACTGACCTGGTCAAGTACTTTAATGATACACTCTCCTCCTGTCTTGACGTCATCGCCCCCAAAAAATCCAAACTTGTTTCCTTCACCCACTCCGCCCCCTGGTACACTGACCGACTTCGCCACCTCGAAGTGTAGGGCCGTCAACTGGAACGTCTTGCCAACAAAACTGGACTTACTGTTCACCTTGATGCCTTCAAACTTCACCAACAACAATATAAAGATGCCCTGAACACCACTCCATCATCCAATCTGGCTCCAACAACCCCAAAATGCTTTTCTCCACCATCAACAAACTCCTCAAGCCCATGGACACCATCTCCTTCTCCACCAGCAAATGCAACTCATTTCTATCCTTCAACGACAAAGTCATCGCAATACACAACCAGCTGGCAGCCCCCTCCCCCCCTCTACCACCCCCCCAAGCCCTCAACATGACTCTCCCCTACTTTCAAGCCACTCACTCTCATCCTTCAGTTCAATCACTGAAATGGACCTCTCCTCCATACTCTCCAGCATGAAGACCTCCACCGGTGCCCTTGACCCCCTCCCCTCCCAGATCTTCCTCGCTCCTCGCTTGAACCGCCATATTGACGGCCGTCCCAAAGCTCTTATTGCTGCTCGGAGGAGGGAGGGAGAAGGGATCTCTGAGGAGCCATGAGCGAGGAACCACGAGAACAGACTCCAGGAAGTCGTGGAGCTTACAAAGCCGACGTGGTCCGATGACTCCGCCTCCTCTTGACATTTGAACGAGATGGCGGAGAAGCTACACAAGTGTAAGTGCCCGTTATCTGATGTGGTTTAAATATAACGTTACTCTAACGCAACTCGTGCTTATGTTTATTCTGTCCACAACCCGTTAAATGGTGTCATAACAGCACCTTCATTATGAATCAGAATTCAGTTAAAAACACGCCTTTGTTCATTCCATGTCAAGTCGTTCTGGTAAGAAGTGCTGGCGTACACCGAACTGTCACATGTATGTTTAGCTGATCACTTCAACATGTCGCCCACATGGTAAGACAGCAGCGTATGAGTTCTTCTGTACAGAGTGAAATAATGTGCGCCAGTGTACCGACATGAGACGTCTCTCATTCAACAAGGACAGAAGATCCACCACAGATCAGAATGAACGCCTGTTCACAGCAGCTGCTGGTGGAAGAGGATTCTGCACCTGTTTCACCACATATATATATATGTGTGTATATATGTGTGTATGTGTATATATATATATGTGTGTCTGTGTGTGTATATATATATATGTGTGTGTATATATATATGTGTGTCTGTGTGTGTATGTATATATGTGTGTCTGTGTGTATGCATATGTGTCTGTGTGTATGTGTATATGTGTGTCTGTGTGTATATGTGTGTCTGTGTGTATATATATATATGTGTGTCTGTGTGTATATATATATGTGTGTCTGTGTGTGTATGTGTGTCTGTGTATATGTGTGTCTGTGTGTGTATGTGTGTCTGTGTATATATATATATGTGTGTCTGTGTGTATATATATATATATATGTGTGTCTGTGTGTATATATATATATGTGTCTGTGTGTGTGTATATATATATGTGTGTAGAGATATACAGAGCTACATTAGAGCTTTGGGACCGCCGTCAATATGGCGGCGCAGAACTTCCGGTTCAAGCGAGGATCGAGGAAATGAAAAGAGACTTGAGATGTACCCTACAATGGTTAGAGACAGAGGCCATCACAATGTCGCAAAATGTCACAGTAAAGTATGTCGAATAAAGTAAATAGTATAGTATAGTATATTTAAAACGTCACAGTAAAGTAAGATCATCTCATCAACTATCATCTATATAAAGATATAGAGATATTCCTCCCTGAGCAGAGAATGAACTGTTATCAGAGCTTCTTTGTTCATGCGTGTATGTGAGCGTGCCCCACTGGTTAGCTCATGACCCCCCAAAGTAAACACTGACAGCACCGTTAGCTGCTAGCTGCCATGTTGAGAACCTTGTGGTGCAACAGAAATAAATCATCTTTATGTTTAATCAGGCAAATGTTTATTCTTTAATCAGTCTCTAGTACAAATGATGTGCTCTGATTGGTCAGCTTCAAGAAAGGAAATGCCATTAAAAATAGAGCTCTACAGGAAGCTGCCTTACATTCAGATCAATAAAAAACTGTCACAAAAATATAAATTTACAAAGAGGAAGATTTCAGATTCTTTTTCAAGAACTAAACATTAATATTTCCCTTTTAGTGAATGCTAATGGAGGTACTCAGAGAAAATACACCTAAAACCAAACAAGTTGTAGCACAAAGTACTCTAACTCTTTAGACCGCTGACACACAGAAGCCTGTCTCCAGCCTACTGAAGACACAAAGTCTTCACCATCCCTTTGATTGTTTTTGAAATAATTGTAAAGAATTATACGAATAATGAACACATTTTACCTTCAACACGGTTTGACGTTTCTTTGTGGAAGTGATGTTTGAAAAGTGTTTTTGTGATGTTGAGGACAATCACTCGTCACATGTGAACGTTATCTCAGAGGTGTTAGCTAACGAGCCAACGACACAGACAACAGTGCAGTAGGTCTCACCAGGGTTCATCTCAAGTCTCTTAACTGCATCCCCGTTTCCCTCACTTGCGTCCTTTCCTTGCGTCCTAGTCCCTCCCACCAGGGATGCATGGAGGAAACCATGCGAGGAGAGAGGAAACAAGGAAATATGTTTTAAGAGACATGAGACGTCCTTTCTTCAGTTGTGTCACGTGAAGCGACGTCTGTTTCTGATGACAGAGGATCAGCTGATCACAGCTGGATCAGCTGTCAGTCGGCTTTAACAGCTGGAGAGACTTTTGATAAGTTTGTGTCTGTTCACATGATCACTGTACTTAATAACAGTAACTAATAATACTAATAACTAATAAAGACACACAGTAATCACTGTAGAGGTGTTTCTCTCTGTAGTCTGTTAACAAACTGTGTTCTGTTTATAAGCACAGGATCCATTTCTATCGGCGGAATGCGATCGTCTTATTTATGAATTATTTACGTCTGTACGTTTTGAAATTCAGATTATGACTGAATTTACTCCTCTGAGGTCCCTCCTCCATCCTCTCTCCTCAGAGCTACATTAGAGCTTTGGGACGGCCGTCAATATGGCGGTGCAGAAACAACATCCGGTTCAAGCGAGGATACGACAATTAAGAGACTTGAGAAGTACCCCCAGATCAGAGGCAGCCTGCAGCTCACTGATAAAACAGCTTCTCTCTACGTGACGGTGCGTTCATGGACACGTGGATATCTGAGAACTGAGAGAGCTAATGGAAAAGCGCTCCGATTTACATTTAATCCTGTGATGAAGATCAGACTCAGATTTCAGATTGTCCTTAAACACACCAGCAAACAAAGTCACGTGATGACGACTGAGGAAGGACATGAGGTGGTGGAAAGCTCTGGAAACGTAGGAATGTTAAAAATCAGAGAAAAGGAGCAACCGATTGGTCCTTTCAGTGGGCGGGGTCATGACTGTTTGCCTCCTCCTCCTGCTCAGTGGCCCATGATGTGGTTGATGTGACCCTAAAACATGAAACATGACTTTAATAAACAGTTCCTCCCACGTCCACTGGAGGTCACAGGGCTAGCATCACACAATAGCATATAGCCTAGCTCGTTAGCATTAGCTAGCTCAGTAGCTTGGACCAGGCTCCACCCGTCCGGCCTGAAGTCCATGAGCCTCAGAAAGCTCTGGGTGACGTCACCAGTCTCTCTACAGACCCGTCTCACTGCAGACCCGTCTCTCTACAGACCCGTCTCACTGCAGACCCGTCTCTCTGCAGACCTGTCTCACTGCAGACCCGTCTCTCTGCAGACCCGTCTCACTACAGACCCGTCTCACTCCTGCTGTCGACCTTTAATTGAGTCATTACCTAAACAGAAGTCATATTTATCAATATGATCAATAACATCAACAGAACTTACTGGTTCTCCTCCGAGACACCTGGGACAGCAGAGCAGAGGAGGTCTGGACCGGACCACACCAACCTACACACACACATATTACCATAGCAACAGCCCCAAAATATCACGTTACTTCTAAAGGTACGTTCACCAAAGTTAATTGTGTCGTTCACGCTAGACACGCCGCAGAGGTTCATCATCTGGAGGTGTATTCACTGGTTCTGCTGGTTCACTACGAACCCAAAATGAACAAGCTTTCTGTGATTTAATTGTAATAAACAAATAAAAAAGATGCCGAAATAACTACACAATGATGCAGATTTGTAAAGTCTGAATTCATGTTTCCTTAGTTCTCTCCACTAGACGACAAGTAAATCACTTTTAAAATACTTGTTTTCTGAATGGAGGTTGGTTCTAGCAGCTCCATCAACACGACGATATATATAGATATATAGATGTAGATATAGATAGAGATATATATATAGAGATATATATATATATATATAACGTTATATAGACAGCGTGGTTTTCATTGTTTGTACCACATGGTTTATACATTTATACACAGTTTGCTCTCTACTACTATGAGGTGTCGTAGAGCTCTGAACACAGACGGATACAGTCTTTGTTTCCTGAATCAACGTCAGTGATGAAGGAGGAGCATCTCAACGCCGATAGGCCATCGGGAGGAGCATCTCAACGCGTTGCGACCGCGTTTGGTGTGAACGCAGCTTAACACCTGAACTCACCTGCTGTTCTTGTTGCTGATTGGACACCGTGAAGGTGTGGGACGTTTCCATTGGACACTCAGTCACCTGGACCTCCATCCCCAAACACACCCGCTTCTGAGAGCAAAACATAGTGACATCATTATCATCAACAACAACATCATAGACCGGTGGAAACCGGAGTCAAATTCCAT